CGGGTATACGCTGACCGGTGGCTGTTACCAAATTAATGCGTTCTTGGTTGTATGCGGAGTCCCCAAGGAACTAACTTATAAGTTGGGAACTAACAACCGTACGAGAGGCTCCAGTGTCTATGGTCAGTTTCGTTAACCTCGCCCTTGACGATTACGAGTAGACTGTACCCATCAGGGTTTGTGAGATCGAGATTCTTGGGGCTCTTTTTACATCAGCCAACACCCGTCCCGCAGTTCTGGCTTTTACTCGTTTCCCTGCTGCTGCTGGGCGGTGCTGTTGGCCACACTACCCTCCTGAGATCGTTCGCCTTCCCTTTCTAGGGTTCGCTTAGGGCAGCTGGATGGAAGATGGCTCCTTTCCCCACAGCCATAGCACCTAGGGCTGTATCCTTTATTACGATCGCGAACTGTAGCTGCTGCAACCTCCCTGACGGGATGGGATCGATGATCCTCCCGCACGACTTCCACCTCCAGTGTATGGTCCAAGGCGTCCTTAAGTATTTCGTGGTGCCCGAGCCTCACAGCAGCTCTGACTTCAAGGTCGCGGATGCCGTCGATGAATGTCTACACCAGGTTCCCTTCAATGAGCGTAGGTACAGACCGGTATGCTTTTCGCATCAGCTTCTCCACCTCTAGAGCCCACTGCTGCAGGTTTTCATTGATGCGCTGCACGCGATCTTTAAGCTGCGCACGAAAGACGTGTTCCAGTTGAGCGTCGCCATATCTCGCCTCCAATGCCTCAAGGAGCTGCTCATAAGTCACTTCTTCACCGAGAGCTTCCAGAACAATTAAGGCCTGATCGCGCAGGCTTAGTGTGAGAGCAGTCATGGCCTAATTTTTATTCCAGCCGTTCGCCTTCATAACGGCTTCAAACTGGATTTTTAAGCTGACCAGGAAGAAGTCTGTAACAGTGGCCGGAAGTGTATTCATCAGTCGCTTTGTCGTTGTCAACCCGATTGTTCAATCGGGTTGACAACGTGATGGCTGTTCAACTTAGGCGCGCAACAGTAATTTAAAAAAAAAAATAAAAAACATAAACCCTGCTTTATGGTTAGTTCAGTTAGTATGCAAAGTTTCATGATCTTATTTAAAATATTTTATGAATACCAGCGGTTTATTGTTCAGTTTGGAGGTAACTTTGGATTTTTTTCTATCGAGAAAATTTTACGGAATCGTGTTTCCGTCTAACATAGTACTTAACATTAATCCTCAACTTTCATATATTTATTTCAAAATTAATGCTGCATTATTTTCGGCATAACGGAGAATCTTGCTAAGCCATTTGAGGTTATATTTCCCCTTAAGTAAGTGCCGTGAGTAATTTGAGTACGGTGTCTTACACAAACAAGGAACATTTTAATATGTTGATGTGTCTTGAAAAATTCGGCGAAGAATGGATTAACCGTGGTGAACCTTGGTCTTTTATCTCTGTGGTACGATTAAGCACTCAGTCCGTATTTAAAAAAAACATGCGACACAGAGGCGGAAATGCGTATTATACGTAGTAGAGCCATGTTGCAGTTATATCAGTAGTATAGTTGTAGCACGAATGGGTCGGTTCGTCCGGGGAAGGACCACGGTCTCACAGAATACCATCGTAAAATAGTAGCTTAATGCTTCTTTGTTTCGTATGGTGAGTGTAGAGAACCGGAGACCATTTTTACTGGAAACGAGGTATTTCATCTTGTCCTCATGCGTGACAACGCATCTGCATTTTGATTTGTAATCGAGGATAGATGTCGATGTCTATGGGCCGCAGCAACCACTTACCATCAGGTGAACTGTGCGCTCGTTTGTCATCCCATCCTATAAAAAAAAATGCAAATAGTCGCAGTCTTTGCAAAAATAAAGTTTGTGAAGAGAGAAATGTCTGTTCTGTAACGCGTGCGTTCAGACATTATAATATAATCCGGTGTCAAGCACAACGTGGTCGTATAGAACAATATGTTCGTGGTCGTCAAGTAGACAGTGATGAATAAGTGTTTGTGCATAATTATTACAATCGGCCGAAGTGAAATTTTAAAAGTTGTGATAATCGATTACGAAAGTATTATTATGTGACTAGCTCACGTTGTGCTTGATGTATGACGCCGCTGGTCTACGCGGCCTGCTGTTTTATTTTGCGTGTTTTATGTGGCGTAATCAATCCACATACAATTTACAAATGTTTAATTTAATTTGATCATTTTTATTTTGAGTTTTCTGAAGTAAAGTTATTTCTATTCGTTTGAATACTGATTCTGATAACGCACTTAACGGGAACCATATAGTTATTGTTAATAATGTATTTTGTTGGCACTAATGAAAAGCCATAACCTCAGAAGGCAGATAACTTCAATGTTATCAATATTAGTTATCAATCTAAATTTAGATACCGCTCCGGCATAACATATTATTAAAAGAACCTAAATGTCATCGTAATCACGTGGTAACCTCAACAAAGAAAATGATGAGTCAATCAGGACAGTATAGTTCCAGAATGACTGTCTTAATTGATATCACTATGAGTGGACCTCATAGAGGTCCCACCATAGTATCCCACTGATCGATAATTCACTCAAGTCGAGATCATAGGTACGCACTGCACCGTTTGAGTCGAGTCCTAATACAAGACTGTTTGCTCAGCGTTCCGAGTGGTGCATATTATGCTATATTATTAATTTGTTTTTTTTATCCTAATAATTTCCTTTGCGTTTTTCCATATTATCTACCTGCAATGAATATTTTGTTAAGTAAAATAATGTCCTGATAATTACAAAACATTACATAATAAAATTGACATATCTAGTTAGTCTACTTACCAGAAGAATACAAATAATTTTAGCAGTCCTATCTGATACTCGCGAACCACCCTTATGCTACGTCAAATAATAGATATATCGACTTAATTCGACTAAACGCAAACTACGAACCAAGGAACATACTACTCTCCGGCTACGAACGGACGTCACCTCGAAACTTGAGACGGCACTTCAGTGCCGTCTCAAGTTTCGATGTGACTGCAGGAGGAGGAAAAAATTCATTTTTTACTCGCATGTTCTCTAATGGCGGCTGTACACTCTCGACGAGAGCCCACGAGGCAAGGCGATGACGAGTGAACTTTCGCTGAGCCTTGCCTTCCCTCGCTGCCTGGGCTTTCGGCTGTGTGTGCGGGTGGCCTCGCATTCCCTCGCGAGTGGACACGAGTGCGTCACTGTACACTCGCGCTTCGTTTAGTCTACCGCAAGAAGTTTTAGCGTGCAGTATATTTGGTTATTACTACCACAAACTTATCATGTGGAGCCAAGAGAGCAAACTCAATTTTTTCGAATTTATCAAAGTGAACCTATTTTGCGGGAGCCCACGCATCGTTACCACAAAGACAGAAATTCATCCGTCCGAAATCATGCGTCCATCTCCTCGCCGTCCCTCACCGTAACTGAATAAACGAGAATGTACAAGGTCACACTCATGAAAGCGTTTTCTCGTGCGAGAGGCTCGCGAGAGTCATGGCGAGTGCTCTCGTCGTGAGTGTATAGCCGCCGCAATTTAAAGCGAATTACGGGAGGCTCACTGGTTCATACTAAAATGTAGGTATGTGCAGCGGGAAACGAATTCTGCTAAAAAATGAATGATTTTTATTCTTAGATAATTGCTTTTTGGTTTGAATTAGTAAAAAAAGTTAATGGTGAATGTATTATTTATACTTTCATCTCACTTTATATTTTCACCTAAAATATTTTCTAAAATAATAACGAAATAGCCTAGAAAATTCGAATAGAAAAGGCTGTTTTAGATGTTTTTACCGTATTTAACGAATTTTTTTCTCGGAAATCAAATTTTTTTTATAAGTATCACGCAGCGTAAGTGAAGACTCATCTATTAACTAATTGAGATTTTCTTGTGGTGTCATTTTATGAAGTAAGTTGTTTAATATTTTTAAACTCGTAATTGCCTATTTGTGCGTTTCAGGACGGGCCTATTAACGTACTGTGAAATCACTGTGTGCACTACGTGGACAGACCGCTGACATCTGCGAAGATAAGATGAGAACTCCAGGACTGACGGTGTTTTTTCACTATTAAACTACTATATCTTGACACATAGTTCATAGCGAAAGACTTAAGAATTTTAGAGTTATTCCATTTTATGTCATCTACAAGCCAGAATCATTCCTAAGGCATATGACCTATGCGGCTTCGTTGTAGTGATACATTTCAATCTCGGTATATGAAAATCACTAATTAGTCATTCAATCTTTAAAGAGGAATTACATCTCAGACGCAGATAATACTAGAATTTATGAGACTGCTAGTTTGCAGTCCTCATAGAAAAGGGGCTATATCTTCTAAAGTATTATTACAATTTTTTTCTTAAATCACTAATTGTTGTCAATTCTCACTATATCTTGACATAATAAAATTTAGAATTTCGATGGGGTTTTGGCTTAAAAGACACAAGCACAAGATTCCTTTGAATTCAAAAAAATTAAAAATATTTTTTTTCATTGCAACTTCATTTACGGTAGGTCTTTTTATAGTACAAATTAGCGATCCACCCCGGCTTCGCACGGGTGATTTCTAGATCTCGACAGCAGCGTCACCTAACATGTCCAATTGGAATCTGAACCATCCAGGGACAAATCGTTCGAGTTCGTTTTCGAGTTTTAACGAGACTAATCGACATCAATTGATTTTTATATAAATTTAAAGATTTTTTAAGCAGCTGAAACGTTCTCAAAAACAAAGTAGTAAAGTTAGTAGGTACTCTATAAGTTGTATTCAACCTACAACTCTCTAATGCAGTAGGTCTATAAATTTCCATCGCATCGTTTAGATGTTGAACTTCAGAACAAACAAAGAACTTACCGTTATAGTTCGAAAATATATTATTTAATTTGAAAACTGTCGAACAATACAAGTTTTTAACAACATTCACAATAAAAAGACGAAACGCATGTAAATTAATAAAAATAATAGTAGCAATAGGTTCACAACACGACTTTTAAATTTAATTAATTGTCAACTTCTTTTACTAGCAAGAAAACCCCGCACTGATTTTAAAAAGCCTCTCTTCATTTTGTCTACGGGTAGTACTGTGTGGTTAGTGTAGTAAGAGGCCGACGTGTCGTACATGGACGATGTTACTTCAATTGCCTAGAAAAGAAAATAATGTTTGATTAATTCTAATAGGTACTAAATTATTATATTATAGTGCGTAGTAAATTTATGTTCCTTCGAAAACGTTCCAGGGATTCACAGTTGTCAAGTGTCGATGACTGTTAATTCGTTGTTGAAGTGTCCATTACTGGTGTTTTAATAAATTTCAGTTTTTCTTTATAATCTAAATACAGTATGTTTTTTAAATTGTTATAAAGTTCCGCAAAGTTTCTTTGTGATATAGGTACTTGATATATTTTATTGATTACCGTTGTTCTAAGCACAGAATAAATAATAGTACTATAGTTCGTGCCAAATCGATTGAGAAAAACGGACATTGACCTTTCGGTCGTTTAACCAGGGGCTACAAACCTTCAATATATAGGCACTTTTTATATGTAGTACTTTTTATTTATAATGATTTTTTTATAATAAACACTCACGCCTGTCACCCAGAGGGGTAGGCAGAGACCACGGACTTCTATTTGACACGATCCTGACATACCTCTTTCGCCTCCTTTGCATCCATATATCTACGCATACGTGCTCGTCGGTTAAGGGTACTTTTAACGTGGCCCATTTTCAAAATATCGCCAATTTGGTCGAGAAACTTTTTTCTAGGGCGTCCCTTCCCGACTCTGCCGTTCACATCTGCCATATAAATTTGTTTTGTCACTCTTTCCTCATTCATTCTTTCTACATGACCAAACCACCGAAGCATTCCTTTCTTAATCCTGGTCATAACATCATCTTGCATACCACATTTATCTCTTATCATGCAATTTCTCATCCTGTCATTCAGATTCAACCCTAGCATACTCCTTAAAGACCGCATTTCTACAGCATTTATTCTACTTTCGTGCTTCTTCTGCCACACCCAGCTTTCACTACCATACATTAAAGTAGGGACTAACACAGCATTATGAATTACCATACGTGCCTTTTTTGATACATTCTGGTTCTTCACAATAGAGTGTAGTGCCCCATTCACTCTATTCCCTGATTTTTTTATTTTTTTTTATAATGATTGACATAAGTTCTTCACATGAGTGTAGTGCTCCATTCACTCTATTCCCTGATTTTTTTATTTTTTTTTATAATGATTGACATAATATATATTTATTAACTATTATTAAAAAGTTATGTAAAAGATCGCTGTAGAAGGAAAATCATCTATTGTTATAAAGTACTTTATCCGCTTAACAACAAAAAGCATTAATTTATAACACATATAAAGATTCGAGTGATAACGACACCGAATAAGTACGTACTTATTTAAAAGATAAAACTTTATTTTCAATATTATATAAGAACTTTATTTTTATTCGGTGCATGCGGGCCGGCCCAAAAAAGTGATGAATCTCTGGCTGCCATTGTCACGTTTCTTTTAGAACGAACTGACGTAACGCGCGTTTTGTTTATTTTAAAGAGATGAATTTGCAAAAGCTAAATATGGTGATTATATTGCTTCAAATATTTTTTAGATATTAAACTGTTATTAAATGAATTGCTGCGTTACTTACCATAAATTGAAATATAAAATATAACACATTTTTCGCGATGTACCGTAAAATTTTACGATGTTTATAGGAACCGCAGACAATATTATTTAAGAAACAAAAAAACAAAACTTAAGTGCTGACCTAGAAGTGTGAACAATATCAATATTTAAATATTGATATTATTCACACTTCTAGGTTACGCGTTACGCCTTTTGACACTCGGCTCATATCTGAGGTCATCGTCCGTTTTTCTTAATCGATTTGGCACGAACTATACGCATTCTAAGTTTATAAACGAAATTTATATTTTTCTTCATATTAAACTTAAAACCAGAAACCACGGCAGTTCATATTTTATAGTTAATTTTTTTTTGATAATGGTGCACCTAAATCATCTTAAGGTATTGAGTAAACTATATGGATTATTACGCCTTTTATTAAAACTAAAATTTAATTGTTTGATCATACATAATACTTACTCCGAGGGATGTGCTTATATAGTAGGAATCAATAGAACTATTGACGCCAGACACTTTACTGGTCAACCCGCAAGGAATTTTAATATTAGATTCTCTGGCCGAATGCATCACTAAACAGGACATGAGTCTTCTGAGTAACGGCCGCTTTTGCTTAGACCCACGCGGCGAGAGTAAGTATTTAATGGATTGGTCGGACCCAGTCGCTTCTGAATACAAGGAATATGCCGAAGTGCCAAGATTTGGAGTTGCTGATTTCTTATGCCCTGAAATAAATGTTCAAACTTTATACGTGGCAGAATGAAGAATAGTTCTGTTCGACGGTAGCTTCAAGATTGCTGTCATTATTTTATTTGGCAACAGTACTGTACTGAATTATCAGTATATATATAGAAATTACGACGAAAGAAGAAGTGGTGACGCGACAGAAAAACTAAATAAAGTATAATTAAAAGGTAATGGACGTGATTACCGTCAAATATTGTTATTAATTAATTCACAGAATCACTATAGCTCACCATAAGTTCACTGCAGAACTTTTGCCTCCGTAGGCTGCCCCGAAGGACAAAGATGAGGATCAGCTAAACTAAGCTTAACAGTATAAGGCTACGAGTTACCTTACGTTCGCATCGATTATCGGAGCCGCTGGGTTAATTATTAGTAAGTAATAAAATAGTGTATGGTATAATAGTAATTCACTTAATAAGAAATCAAGTATGCAATGTAGTATTTTTACCAAGCGTTTTTATAATAAAATGGAGACTAGGACATTCCAGAGATGAAGACGAATCCAACGACACTGCACTTACAATCTATCAAGTTGTTTCGGCTACAGTCTAAAGGAGGTTATGAAAAAACAGACAATTACAAGTTAAATTTCGTACAACAGTCCGTTTGATTTGGGCGTAAACCAATTAGAAAGATTATGCAATAATCGTCACGCTTAGCAAGCAGTTTGGCTATTACTGGCCTCGCTTTTTAAATCTGTCAGATTTTGTGTTGGTTTTTTTGGCATTTGTCGTAAAACATGTGTTTTTTGCCATATCCTTTAGTCGACTTTCAAGACACACCCGGGACGGGAGGTCATGTGATGGATATGTTGCTACGGTTATGTGCTCAAGTTATCAATTAAAACTATTTATTACTTACTTTTGAGTAAAGAATACATTGAGTAATTATCGTTTTGTTTCGAATAAAGAGATTCTGATGCAATATTGCCGACATTTGTTGATGAAAATGTTACACGCTTGTAAGCAACATTAGCGTATCTTATTTCCAGAGATGACCTGGCGTGTCTTGGCACGTCTTCTGCAGACAAATTCGCAGATTCATTAACATTTTGTTCCTTATATAACATATATGTGTTGCACATTGTTCTTCTGTCTATGCTTCTTTTGCTGGGTACTGTTTGTACAGCCTCACAAACACAAGAACCTCTTTTCAAATTTTTACTACTACAGATTCTGTCATCTTTTGTACTTTGTCTCCGTGATTTTTTTCCACATTTGAAAGTTTGGATCCCTTGGGTATGACTAACGCAGCTTACCTTCTTTGGAACTTTCTTCACATGTCCAGAAGATATGACACTATATGCCTTGAAAATATTTTTTTTGCATTTGTCTTGATTTTTTAATTTTAATTTTACTGTACTTTTTATTGTCTTTTTTAGCTTGTCGTACTGTTTTCGTGTTAACATTATTGGTTTCTGTTTGGTGAATTGCTCTATTTGTAGGTACACCTGTATGTTTCTATTTAATACTAACTGTTGCATATCACATGAATCACGAGGCTGGTGTGAAGAACAACAAGCAGTGGATGACGGTGTTTTTTTCTCACACTGAGTAGTCGTAGTTTTAGTTTTAATCATTTTACATTGTCTGTTTTTGTTTAATTTCCTTTCTGTACTACAGCATTCTGTATTGCAGCATTTGCAATCCATTGATCTAGACATACATGCTGCTATACTTCTTTTCGAGGGTATAAAATCGCTGTTAATAAAATGAGATTATTGTAGTCGATAATAATAAGCGACAGTAGCCTAAACCTAATGATAGGATGCGGACTGCATACTCAGAGAGTCTGTGTTCGAATCCGCCATTCAACTACTATGGTAAACCACTCCTAACATGTATTTTTAAGCTTACTGAGAGTAGTTTACAGGAGTTTTAGTAATTTTAATAAGCGTTACTTGTATTAAAAAAAGATAACATTTACAAGTATGATATATTCATAAAATTAAGAAAGATACCTGTTCCTTTTAAATCGATATTGTGCGTCGCGGCAGAAGATACCAGATAAGTAGTCCTTAAACAAAAATTGAATTGTATAGTCACAATATATCCGATTTTATTCTTTTTGTAATTTTGTGGCATCATCATCAGTAATTATTTTAATTGTTAGCAGAGTTAGGATGATTTACCGTATTCACGCACGCATGTAAACATCAGCATATAATTTGTTAGATTAAAAAAGGTTTGATTAAGTTTTTATTATCTTAAATACGTTTTATTTAATGCACACAAAATCACCTATCAAGAAATATGAGCAGAAGTAGGTTAGGGTGCGACGCTTGATGTTCGTGGATTCGGACGGGACATTTATGTAATAAATGGAATAATATATAAATTAAGTGAGAAGTGTGGGGGTATGAATAAATAGGAATTCGCCCTACTCTCATCAGTAGGTGAAACCGGAATGTACACGGGTCGTTACCCAAAAAGTTAACAATAAATTAACAATAAGTTAACAAGAGGAGGAAAGAGCAATACTGAAACTTCACGAACACTCTAAGTTATATTATATCCAAAAAACTGGAAGAAGAAAAAATGATAAAATAAAATGATATTTGATGATGATTATTTTAAATGTAAATAATGCCAATTTAAAAGAACCTACCCAAGCGAATTCAGAGCGAGTCGTCAGATTAATTACATCACCGATCGATCACGAGAAAATAAATGAAAGCAGTATTTCAATATTTTTTGCTAGTATAAGGGTGACAAACGAGCACACAGTCCACCTGATGGTAAGTTGATGCTGTGACCCATAAACATCTACATTTATCCTCGATTAAGACTCAAAATACAGATGCGTTGTCACCCCTGAGGACTAAGATGGAATGCCTCGTTTCCAGTAAAAAGAGATTCCGGTTCTCTACACTCAAAATATGGAACACAGCAGCATATAGTTGCTATTTTACGCTGGTAATCTGTGAGAGCGTGGTCTTTCCGCGGTCGAGCCGACCGATTCATGGTATAATCGTAATATAGCTGCAGCTTGGCTCTACCACGTAAAATTTTACAAGATATGAAACATTTAAACAATTTGTATGCCACATCTCTTACTTGCGTGATGGATCTGGAGACAGCGGGTCGGCTTGGTTGAACGCCGAGCAGTTCTCTGATTTCCTTATCCCTTTCTAACGGATCGGTTATTTTGCAGTTGTCTCCATGGTAGTGCTTGATGGGCGCTGGAAATATGATTTATTCTAATTTGATGAGAATAGCTATAGGTACTCGTAATTTGGCATCTAAAGAGTAGTTTTTAAATTATTGGGGTTATGAATAATAAAATACTGAATAGGCTTAATAGACTTAAGTGAATATAGTATGCATAGCTGAATTATAGTTTGTATTATTACAAAAATAAATTTTTATTAAATTTAAAATAATATTGAATTTATAGGCTTTTATGGTTAGTTGTACAATTGTACTTCTGAATCTATACTATATCTGGTCTTACATCTTTTTAGTCGTCTTTATAAATCTCAAAGTTTTCCTAATAATAATTCTTAGACAAAATTGATTTAAATTGTTTAAAAGAACGTTAACTTAACACTAGGATTGTCTCGAGTATACATATACGAGGGTGGATTGAAAAGTACTCGGCCTAACACAGATCCATTCAATTCTAAAAATCAAATCTACCCACATTATTTACTTCAGTTCAGACTAGTTCATTGTGTGAAGTTCGAAACGTGTGCGATAATTAGTTATGATTTTATAAATTTATTAACAAAGTAATCGGACATAATTTCCGCGAATGGAGCAAATCGAGCAGCGTGCCGTCATTAAGTACCTCCATAATAAGGGGCTATCATCAAAAGCCATCCATGATGACATGGTCAGTATATTAGGCGATTGTGCTCTGTCATATTCATCCGTCAAAAAATGGATAGCAGAATTTAAGCGTGGTAGAGAGAGTGTGAAAGATGAACCCCGCTCTGGAAGGCCTTCGACGTCAACTACTGACGAAAATATTAAAAAAAGTACTTGATTTAATAATGGGAGACCGCAGATTAAAAATTAGAGAGATAGCCGAGATTATAGGCATCTCTTATGAACGAACTCAAAACATCATTGTCAACGAGTTGGGTTTCCACAAGGTGTCTGCGAGGTGGGTTCCGCGACTGCTTTCAGTTGAACAAAAAAGGACGCGATTGACTATTTCACGCGACTGTTTGGAGTTATTTGAAGCCGATGCAGACGATTTTTTTAATTGTTTTGTTACTATGGACAAAACATGGGTTAATTACTGTACACCGGAAACAAAACAACAATCAAAACAGTGGAGAAGACCTGGTTCACCACCCCCTAAAAAGGCTAAGTCGATTTTGTCGGCAAATAAGGTGATGGCTTCAGTATTCTGGGACTCGAAAGGTGTGATTATGATTGATTATCTTGAAAGGGGTCAGACTATAAACTCTGATTACTACTGCACCTTACTACGTCGTTTACGAGAGGAAATAAAAGAAATACGTCGAGGAATGCTCAGAAGAAAAGTCCTGTTTCATCAAGATAACGCCCGTGTTCTCACGTCAGTACAGTCAATGGCTGAAATTCACAACTGTGGCTTTGAACTGTTACCGCATCCGCCGTATTCACCTGATCTGGCACCATCAGACTTCTTTCTGTTCCCTAACCTAAAAAAGCACTTGGGAGGTCAAAGATTTTCGACAAACGACGAGGTCAAAGCAGCTGTAGACGCATATTTTGACTCTAAGGAAGAATCATTTTTTTTCAACGGTCTAAATGCTTGGAAGGGGAGGTGGCAAAAGTGTATTGAACTTGATGGTGATTATGTAGAAAAATAAAAATATAACTGATTTAGTATGTGTTTATTTTCTTGGTTAGGCCGAGTACTTTTCAATCCACCCTCGTACATACATTTCAAAGAACAAAAATCCAGACCCGGAACAATTATTTGTAAGCCATACGAAAACTTGTTCCGTGCGTGATAAAAAATATATTTATATAAATGTTATAAATAACTTTGAAAATATAACCACACATTACCGAAGAAATTGGTGCTGCTTTGTGAGCCATAAAATTCATCACAGATGTCACAGGTTTGAGTAGTTTTCATGCAAACCTTTGGCTCAGAATCACTCCTGAAAAATGTTAGGCTATTTAATTATATGGCTCTCTACTTCTCATAATTTCCTCCTCTTCATTAGCTCGTGGAAGTTCACTGCTAGACATTGGTTTATCTCATTGTAGGGCATTGAGGTATTACTACTACGTATAGAGAAGACAACGCCTTGCATGATTTTGCGCCACGCTTTGCGGTACACTGTACCGCAACTGTTTCGTGCGTGTCCAGCGCCCGCACAGACAAGTCGTATTCGCTTTGTATAAATAACAACTTCAAAATGCCTAGTTGTGTTCTTAAAGACTGCAGTAAACACTCGGTATGTAGATATTAAAACGTTTAAAACTCTTTGATTTAAAGTTTTTCGCGTTGTTAAATGCGCGGGCGCAGTTCTCCTTCCGACAAAAACGACGCTATGCGACATAACCAATTGATCCATTTTCTCTATCGTTGAGTATTCGCCGCTGCCACACGCCGTCACCACACGCCGTCGCCACGTCTCTTCTATACAAACCGCGCCTAAGACGCTGCTGCGTGTCACCGGTCTGTTTATTTTAAGTCTGGCATAAACGAGATGGTTCTACTGGCAATTTCCATCATCGACTGCGGGACACCCATGAAAGGTGATATATCGTTTGCCTCCCCACCACACGGCCACACACCAGTCACCAATAAACACTGAGAATGCTTAGTAGTAGTTTTTTTACAGATTTTTTTTATAAAACAGTAATGACAGACGAACTTATAGTCCACCTTATTTTAATAATAATTTAATCATTTTCTATTGACACACAGATAAGGAAAAGTTAAACAATTCACAATTTTACAATTTGATTACATTTGGTACAGAATAAGAAATGTGCAAACAGTGATGTGTGAGTGTATGTGTACTTGTGTACGTTTCAGTTTATACTTTCCATCATGTGTTCTGTATCTTTGTAATTTAATTTATTCATGAAGTCCTCTATATATTTCTTTAATTTATAGGTATTAAATTTTCGTAATTGTAAATGGTTAATATTACTATATATAACTAAGAGCTGGAGGCTCAGAGTCAGAGCTGCCTTAAATTTAATAATACTCGTGGATTCGACTTCTGCCGTCACCACCAACGAAATTGTAAATCGTATTTCGACGTATTTATTTATGTTATTTATTATTTTAGTTTCATAGACGTACAGGTTGTCTGAGAAACTAAAAATATTTTGAGAACATGTACCTACTTGTTAAAAAATTAGTTCACTATAGTAAGTCTCAGGTTTAAACCAGTCTGTTTTAAGAGCTCCTGAGGAAAATATGAGAATTGAAATTAAGCTTGAAATTTGACAGCAAATGTCAAAAGTGACCATTGTGACTCGATTCGAGACTCTTTTGTGATAAAGTCTCTTCTAAAAACATAGCTTAAACCCGAGACTATTAATCAACTACATTTTGTAATAAGACCAGTAAAGTCCACATATTGTTTTGGTATAGAAGGCGGGACAAATGAGCATACGGCTCAACTGATTGTAAGTGTCGACCGTCATCCACGAACAACTGCAACACCAAGGTAATTACAGGTACGCACCGCGGCCTTTTAAAAAGGAGTCAACTCGTTTCTTGATGGTCTCTAAGTAGATCGGTTCAGTAAAATCGCCGGTGGTAAACGATTCCACAAAGTAGTCGTGCGAGTAAGAAAATTCCTAGTAAATCGCACAGTAGTAGTGAACGGCAAAGCATCCAGATGATTTGAATAGTAACGTGAGTTTTGCCGCGATGTGCGTTGGTGATATTTGGCGGCTGGAATTAATCCGAACAATTCCTAACTTAATCGAACAGCTCGGCAGAATTTATCCTTCTCCTTAACTCTTTCAAATATAGTCTACTAGGGGTACATTTCTTATTTACCAGGCCGTAAAAGTTCTTCGCTTGACGTGGGCATCTACTGTTGTAAGGTGGACTTGCCTTAGGCTCGGTTTACATTTTGAAAAGTGACAAGTGCGAGCGGTAACTGCAACTGACACATGACAAGTGCTTAATGCGAATTTTATTCACACTTATCACTTGTCACTGACTGTTCACACGCACTAAGCACTTTTCATTTGTCAGTTGCAATTGCCACTCGCACTTGTCACTTCTCAAAATGTAAACCGGGCCTAAATTGCCACACTTGGCAAATAGATTGATAATCGTAAATCCAGACGTTTGGCAACTTTGACCCCACACCGGTCTGGGTATTTTGCGTCTGGCATAAACTGTGGTTATGCGCGCAATCGGTGGGAAGCTATAAAGATGTTTCTGACGTATTCCGTAGTCAATTACCATCAGGTGGACTGTGTACTCGTATGTCATCCGTATTCTATTAAAAAATCTTTTGTTTTCTTTTTAAAATTAGAAGTCGTAAATGGTCCACCTGATAAGCGGTTATTGCAATCTGTGTTGCAGGTACAGGTACAGAGGTTACTATACCTGTAAATGCAACTAACTTTAAGTTGGAAAGACAGCTGCCATTGCCATAGAAATAGACAGCTTTGTCGCTCCTGAGTACTAAGATAAAATACCTCACAGCCTGTACGTAATTGTTATCAAGGTATCTTAAGAGTACCGGAATAAAACAATAGAGTAGGTACCTTAAGAGTACCGGAATAATCTTATTCTTCAACATTTATTTAAGTTTATAGGTGAACGGGAATATAATTAGTTTGAAATTAATCTTACCAATGAGCCGCGTTAGCTCAGATGTTAAATATAACAGAAAACGCGAGTAACCCGGGCACGATCCCCGCCAGCACCAATGAAATTGTTATTTGCAATTTTAAGTGCTGATTTACCACGTGCTCGGCGGTGAAAGAAAACATCGTCAGGAAAGCTGCATGTCTGAGGAATAAGAAAAAAAAATATTTCGAAGACATGTGAAGTTCGCCAACAAGCATTGGTGCAGCTCGGCGGACACTTCCTTGCTCTAAAACCCTCTCAGAAATGAGACGAAATGAAACAGACCCAGCAGTAGAACGTATATAGGCTGTAACTTTACTTTTTACTTTACTTTATCTTACCGATAATTCGAGAAAAATAATTTGGTAAAATTCTATACGAAATTGAATATTAAACTTATAATAGAAACTAGAAGTCGAATTTCAAATAACCCAAAAGAATAAAATCATTTTACGTCCCGAAGTTGATGCAGTATTTCATGTCTGCACACCGCTTGCGACTTTACACTCCTTTACGCCATGGAAGTTTAGGCTTAGTCACTCTAGATAAATTTCAGCTGCCAAGTTCTTCCATCGCAATTATCAAAAAAAAAAAACAATTTTACAATCTCTCTCGGAGGTCGGAGGTCTTACACAGTGCGATTTTTTAGAAGATTCTTTCCTCGAACAACGAACTTGTGTTATCTACTAACACTCTAAAATCTAAATTATAAACCCGTTCATAGCTTGTGCGCGTGTGTACGAGTATGCGTGTGTGTACGTGCGTGGTGTGTGCGCGTGGTGTGAGCGCGTGGTGCTTGCGTGCGCGTGCGTACGTCCCTCGCACTATTTTATGATTTTTAGTACGTTTTTTGTCTCATTGTACGTTTATTTAAATAAAAATTGTATTACTTTAGAATTTAGTTCCTAAACAGACATATTTTACAATATATATGTACACTGAAGAAATTGTAAGTCTCGGATCCTAATTCATGTCTATAGTTAAATAAACAGCGAAATTCAAGTCTAGTGAAGAATTCTGCTTACATAATATGTTATAAATAAATTAAAATAAAACGTAAAAAATAAAGAAAAAAATATTGGTCTACCTGTCACTATTAACTATTGTATCAAGGTCGCTGTGTTGAGAAGTATCATCATATTCTGTACCACTTGCCTGCTGAAAATAAAAAATAGTATTTCTAATAGTGCTTACTTTCCAAAATAAAAACCGAGCTGACTTAGTACTTTTCGAATTTAAATATATTGGCATTTCAAAACTTTTTTAAATACATGATGTATTACATACATGTCTGCTAGTATACCTGTTATTTTTTTAAACGACATTATCGATTCATGTCATATTCACACAATAAGTATATGTGTTTTGTCGAGATGATTGTAAATAGGTATGCTAGGAACCGAATCCGCCCATTTCCACAAGCAAAAATACTAAAAATATAAAGATGAGCGTGCAGCTGGAATAAAACATATATACCCCACCGCCTCCTCCGCGCCTTTCTCTCCCTTTCACTTTTTCCCTATCTCTGACTTTTTCCGGGACACTGAAAGTTTTTAAAACTGACCACTTGTAAATGATATAATAAAAAAATAAGTTCAAATTATGAAAATGAAACTCTTTGCCAATATTATTGTAAGTGTAAAAGAGGTATGTAAGGATGGATGTTTTGTACGTATTTTATTACTTTGTCATTTGTTTACGATTTGGCGGCAAATTGAAAATTGTCTGTGTTATGTCAGGATGAACTTAACGCGAGAAAATTTTCGTACAATGATTTTTATGACTTTCGATGTCATTTAAGTCAACAAGTAAATTATGGTAGACTTCGATTGGCCTTTCACGATGAAGCCCCTCTCGTACCACTGTTTACAACTGGTTTAACGAGTTTAAACGTGCTCGCTCTAATCTCACCGATGATCTGCGTGAGGGGCGGCCTTCTACGGCGAAGACTTAAGATAACATCAGTGTTGTGCGGCGTATGATAGAGACTGACAAAAGAGTGACTTATCAGCAGATTCGGACAAGCTTAGGCATCGGTATGAGTCAAGTGCATAAAATTCTCCTTGAATATTTAGCGGTCGGAAAGCTTTGTGCCCGGTGGATCAAAAACTCCGTCGAGTTGATTGGTGTCGTGAAATGGTTCAAATATTTAACGGAGGTGGCTCAAATGCTCTGTTCTATATACTTACGGATGACGAAAGCTGGTTTTATTGTTATAATTCTGAAACTAAGAGACAGTCTGTTGTCTGGGTGTTTCCTTCCGAGGAGTTGCCAACTAAAGTGAGGAGGGGTCGAAGCGTGAGAAAAAAGATGGTTCTTCGGAAGGAGAGGTCATTACGCAACAATTGTTTTAGAGTATCGAAAAACCGTTACTGCAGAGTGGTACACTAACAATTGTTTGCCACTTGTCTTGGAAAAAGTTCGGGAGAAACGACCTCGCAGTAAGATCCTCATTCACAACGACAACGCCTTGTCACACCCCGCCAAGCAAACAATCGGCAACGTCAGACATGGAATTACTGGGTCACCCGCCCTATAGCCCCGACCTCGCACCCTGCGACTTTTATTTATTTCCGAAAATAAAAGAAAAACTTCGAGGAAAACGTTTTATGGATGCCGAGGAAGTAGTGGCTGCGTTTCAAAATGCCCTCAAAGAGACACCTAAGCATGAGGGGCAAAGTGTTCTTCTCAATAGTTCCATCGGATGCAGCGATGTATTGATGTAAATGGACACTATTTTAAAAAGATATACTAAAACTAATAACTTGCTAGTTTGTTCAGTTTTTGATTTTCTAAGAACTTTCAGTGTCACCTCGTATTTCCATCCATTCGTAGCCACATTTTATAGTTTTTGAGAAAAAAAGTTCATAAAATAAAATAATATCTAGCAGTCAGATTATTAATATCCCTCAAAATAATCGTCAGATTTTAAACTACCGTAATTAAAATCTCAAACTGAACCTACAGAAGGTACATAATAATGTGACACGTTCGAGTATTTCAATATGGCGATTTTTTTCACATATTCAAAAATTTTCTACGAGCTTGCGTCATTTCTGAATCGTTAGTCTTTTGGAATGGGAGCATTTGAAGAATCAGACGCACTGGAGTTAATTTTTAAATATCTAGTAGTTTTTACATTTTTGAAAATCTGTAGACGCTTTCCCAATCGATGGAAGGGGAACCATTACATAACTTTTTTCTACCTATCAACTAATCTAAAAAATCTAATAGGTACCACGACGCTCCAGTAAATTCTTATTAGGCATCATGGGCATCTACTATAAGCAAAAAAGCACACTGAATTCGTTCTTGAACCACATTCACACCATCATATTTAATCTAAAGAAATTCTATAAGACTGGAAATTCCTAGTAACTGATAGTGATCATATATCTTTAATACATAGCATTGTTGTAAATAAATGCAAGCTTTAATTCAAAGTAAGAAAGAAAGGAAGATATTGAGTTAAAAAGATAATAATGTACTAAATGAATAACTGAATTCAATGAATAAACATATTAAAAAGCAAATATAGATAGATATCAGCGCTTACTATAAAACAAAGGGGTCAATAAATCACAGATCTGTTCTGTATCAAATAGCAGAATAGTTATTTACAAACATTGCAATGAAATACCACAAACGATAGGGGAAATCACTTGTGAACTAAAAAGCCACTACTAACTACTAATAATAAATAAAAAATAAAACGCTGCGGTTGCAAACCCGTCTGTCATACGTGGCAACTATTTCAAAATCTCGAAAGACCTCTGTTCAGCTGTGCACTTTTGTAGGTTGTAATGGATGGAATAGACGGAATATGGTCGGCACATTGTATGTTTTGCCCGCCTATCGAATAAATAAGTTAAAAAAAAGTTCTTTAAAATACTCACAGAACAACAAAGCGTTTGCGATACTGATCGTTTTCTGTCTTTATTGCCCTCTGATAGCATTAAATAATTCTCCATTGATGCATACTCATCATCGGTAGATTTTTGCGACTCTTGGTCTTTAATTACCTTTTGAACTTTCAAGTTTGTATTTACATTACTTTGGTGCCACATAACATTGTAGCGTCCTTTGCCACTATCAATGTTAACTTTGACCCCAGATGAGTTATTTTTCCAAAGAGATGAGTCATTTCCGGCGTCTTTTTTGCTCACTTTAATGGGTTTTGTGTAATTATCAACAAAAGTCTTCTTTTTAGGCGATCGATTGTTTATACCTTTGGAATCTCGTGAAGAAAAACTGACAGGAAACTTTTTATAGAACTTGGCTTTAGTATTGGATTTTGTCGTATTGTTGCTTGATTCAGTAGTGGGTGAAACTTTTTTCCGAACATTAGATGAAGATTGGTAATTCGAGTTCTTCATTTTATAATCGGTCCTAAGAAATCTAGTGTCAACAGTTCGATTAAAAGGGTTTTCTTTAGTAAAATTTTGCCTTGTAGGTGAAGGTGAACGACTCGGTTGCATATTTCTGTTTGTACTTTTATTATAATTCCTTTCAGTCTTTTGAACCACTGTATTAGTGTTTTTTTTAGGTGAGATTGGACGTTGTTTCATGAGAGTGTGACTGCTAACATTTTCAGATGCATCTTTTTTTGGATATACTGATATTATTACGAGAGGACTTCTGATTTCTTTTATTGTACCTCTGTTGGTCACATCGCCAGTTGTAGTGCTCACTATATCCGTCATATTACTACAGTTACAAAAGCATTGTATTGTTTGATTTTTAAGTTGATTTTTACTGATTTTATCCGTGGGGAAAGTTGTATCCAAATCTACTTGAATACCTTGTGATTCTTGTCTGGAAACAAGTTGTCCTTGACTTATAATTGCTAAATTATATTTAATTCGAAATATTTTACTAGTAGTAGTAGATTACCTGACTCTCCCATTCTTCGAAAAAGTACGATATGTTAGCTCTTGAAGATTAGCTTGAACATTAGAATCTCGCTGAGTTCTAATTATAACCAGTAAAGTATTATAACACACATCGATATTTAAAAAAAAACTATTAAAAAGTACTGAGGTAAACTCACCGAGCGGCGTATTTTTTGTTATTACAAATGATATTACTTTTGTAACAACCTGAAGTGCAATTTTCAGTTTCTCTGAAATTTAAAAACAATAAAAATGATGTTGTTTTTTAAATAAGCAAGAGGTATAACCGATTTTTTTATATTAAAGTACTAGGGAGTAGTACAAGGATATGTAGTTTCCCCGTGGCTGTTAAATCTCGATTTTCGAAAACTACGAAAATTGAAGAATGTGTGTTAAAAATGGGCGAGTAAATCATTAAACGCTATTTTTACCCCTACAATCAAGTCCTTGCATCGTCGGCGGTCGAGTTGCAAATTATGATTACATAAATGAACACAGTGAATGGGGTCCTTTACTCCATTTTTGGAAGTTAGAATATGTCAATTCATAATGCTGTGTTAGTCCCCATCTTAATGTGTGGTTTTGAAAGCTGGGTGTGGAAGAAGAAGCACGAGAGTAGAATAAATGCTGTAGAAATACAGTCATTAAGGAGTATGTCTGCCTAAGGAATTGAGTGTTAAGAGAAAAGTGTTGTTTGCATTTTTTTATAGGAGAGGGGGTAAACGAGCATACGATTCACCTGAAGTTACGTGACTACCACCGCCCATGTACAACTGCAACACCAGGGGAATTGTAGATGCGTTGCCGGATTTTTAGAAAGGAAAAACTCTTTTCTTGAAGGTCCCTAAGTCGTATCGATCCGGAAAAATCGCCGGTGGTAAAATATTCCACAGAGAGGTCGTACGCGGAAGAAAACTCCTAGTGAAACGTACATTGGTAGACCGCCAAGCATACAGATGGTGTGGATGATATCGGGAGGTTTGCCGCGTAGTGCGTTCATGAAATTTGGCGGCTGGGATTAATCCGAGCAATTCCTCAGAGCACTCCCCGTGATATATGCGATAAAATACGCAAAGAGATGCAACATCTCTTCGCAGCGCCAATGAATTGAGCTGATCGGAAAGCACTCGGTCGTCGACCCAGCCCAGAGATGGGAACAGTATTCCATGTGAGGCCGAACCTGCGCCTCGTAAAGTTGCAGGCGATGTGCCGGCATGAAATACTGTCTCACTCTGCTGAGCACGCCGAGTTTTTTAGAGGCCAATTTGGCCTTTTCTTCTATGTCACCACGAACCTGCACATCACACAATATATTGCCGCCGAGGATTCCGATACTGGCTGAGGCAACAAGGGGAGTGCCTTGAAACCGAGGAGATACGGCATAGGGGTTCTTTTTAGCGGTTAATGCGTAAACTTGTGTCTTCTGAGGTTTAAACTGGACTAGATTTAGTCGCCCCCAAACCGAAACTTTGTTAATCAAAGACTCGACTTCAGACACAAGTTTGTTCCGGTACTCGGAGACGTTTTCCCGAGATACATTGGTACGGCTAGTGTACAAAACACCACCAGTGCTGTCATCCGCATAGCAATGAATGTTGTTAATGAAAAAAAAACGGTTATAATTTTTAAAACAACTGCCCGTTAGATTTGCACTTTTTAGTAGCTGCCCCCATTCTCGCTTGCAACGCGTGCCGAAAGGCTGGACGCCGTCAATGCGCGGGGGAGCGCTTGAGGAGCAAGTTATTACAATCAGGTGTCACCGGACGGCGAATCGCTCACCGCGCGCCCACTCACGTAAGTAATATTGTGTAGGTAATGTATTTTTTGCTAAAGGTTTGCTAAAAATTTGCTAAAGGGTAGACTATATTTTATAGTGCATTTATAATTAAAACCAAAAAAAACATTTTTGTTTTAGGATTTAAAAGTATCTTTAAATCCTAAAACAAAAAAGTATCTCTATTAATAAATATGAATAACAAAATGGACTCTCAAATTGTGTCTTGGCTAGAGGAAATATCTGATTTTGAAGATGCTAGTACACAGATGTTGATGAATATGTGTCAGATAGTGATCGATCTAGTGATCATAGTGAGCACAACACGGAAACAGAACAGTCAACAGAAAGCGACGCTTGCCATGGTACTTGTCAAGCAATATATGATCACAAGGTCTTCTATAGACACTTTAAATATTCTTCTGAGGAACCAAATTTTTCGCTTTGTACCAGCAGAACAAGCATCTACAAATAAGGAGGGCAAATACAGTATATGTCCCTCAAATAAAAACAGGCGCACGAAAAAAGGGTGTTCCAGGTGCCCAAAGTTACTGTGCAACGAACATTGCACATACCCTTGTGAAGACTGTTTTGATAAATCATATCCTGTAGATTTAGAAAATATATAATTTTGTTTTTTTCTTCTTTTTATTTAAGTATTAAAGAGTATTATGTAGGATAAGAGAAAAAAATCAATTTAAATAATAACTTTCCTAAAGTCTTTTGTAAACCAAAGTTTTTAAAACAGAGTTTAATAAATATGTCGATTTATCATTACTTATTATTGTATTATTTAAATCCTGAGAAAATAAATTTATTAAATTGCTGTATTTCTAGTTAAAATGGTCAAAGTAAATGAACGGCGAAATGCTCCCCACGCGCCCACTGACGTTTCGCAAAAAGACGCGCCCACTCTAGGGTTAAGAAAGGAAAGTTTCAGTGGTTTGTGCATGTAGAAAGAATAGATGAGGAAAGAGTGGCGAGGGATATCTTTGTTGCAAAAGTGAATGGTAGAGTCAGCAAGGGGACCAAAGATGGAAGTTTGTCGACCAGATTTGCCATATATCAGATGGGCTAAATTAAAAGTTTCCTTAACTGTCGAGCATGTATGTGTAGGTATATGGATGTGAAGAAGTTGAGAGAGGTATATCAGGATCATGTCAAATGGAAGTCCTTCATAGTTTTTGTCTACCGCTCTGGGTAACAGGCGTATTTATTTATTATTACGATATGTAACAGGGGCAAAATACGATAATAAATTGTAGAATGAGGATGAACTAATGAGCACACAGCCCACCTGATTGCAAGTAAATACTATGGTTCAAATGAACCTATATCTATGATCGTATAAGAATTCAAATTTATATGTTTTCATCTCTGTCTGACTGACCGTTCCATCTCTGACTCTGTCTGATGAAATGCCTCGTTACAACTAAAAAGTCAATAGTTTTCTACACTCACAATACAAAAAGCAGCAGCATTATGCTGCTATTTTACGCTGGTATTATGTGCGAAGATGGTTTTTTCCCAGTCGAGCCAATTCAATCGTGTTACAACTAAGATACAACTGCAGTACGGCTCTACTCTGTAGCTGTACCACGTTGAGAATTTTCTTCGTAGGGAAAAGTCTCATGCACACTCGCTTTGCGGGGCCCAGGAAGTTAAATTTACGAGACCGCATTTTTGTATGGTTGTGATTGGTTCCTGCTGCGGAGATAGTAATGCTCGCAAACATAGCAGGAGACGCTTGCAAGTCGGGTCAATAAGTGGGTTTATTATGATGGGTCAATTACCAATAAAGTCCCAGGCTGAGCCAGACTATGCACCTACGTAACACGACCTGCGTGTCTACTGGTGCTCGCACCGGCATTGGCAGCCACAAACAACCACACATAAATCGCGTTGTCAAATATGCTATATAGTTTTATATCAACATATAATATTCTATGTGTGTCCCGCTACCATTGCGGGCGCAGGTAATATATCGTTCCATAAGTTCTTAGTGTGAGAAAAGACTAGCAAACGATAAATGGAAAATTCACCTAAAAACTGTGAACAGAAATTTCTCACACTCATGATGGAAAGATGCATTACTCGTGTGAGGGTATCGGATCAGCTTTCACTAACCTGCTCGCCGAATGAGACGAGTATGGGGAAATCAACTATAACTGCTTGCCAGCTGGCGAAATCTTAGAAAGGCATACTTACAATCGATGTGAAATTTACAAAAGACTAAAAAGGTACTGTAAAACTTACTGTCGCTCATGCCGTGAGTCCAGTACTTCATGTGGTATCAGCCTGTGTTCTACATGTGTAAAGTTCGCTATCACTACAAAAAAGGATAACATTAGATATCTTATTCAAGTCTTTAATATATGTAGTTATTTACTCCATATAAAAAAGTAATAACATTAACCTGGTTTATCATTCATGGTGGCGGCATAGTCTAAAACGTAATTTTCATTATTCGTAAGTCCTAGTTGACCAGTTATTCGTAGTCGACTTTTTCGGCAGCTGACATTTTTCAAAGCTTCTTTCTTTTTCGTATTGGAACACATACATTCCTGTAAAGTTAAGCCGGCTCCGCCAAAAATTTCATTCACAAGCGACGATTTTGACTCCTTTTGTCTAACTATATTTGTTTTTCTTTTTCTCTCTTTCTTTTTCTTTTTATCCATATTTAGAGAATTGATCAGTTGTTTGTAATTACTTATTTTTTTTAAAGGAATGTCTTCATATCTTAAACGACTTGAGGATTGGTTACAGGATAAGTTTTCGCTTCCTGATGTTTTAATTTTATATATCTTGTCGGTTTTTTGCCCTGTTACGACTAAATAAACGTTTTTTGAATGGATGGAGCTTTCCTGATTTGAAATCGTGCTTTGTATTCTTTTTAGAATTTGTCTTCGTTTATTAAACACTCGCGAAGTTTGTGTCTCCGCTACTTTAGGAATTACAGTTACTTTGATAAGTGGAATTTCCACTGATGTTTCATCATCAAAAAATTTATTTGTAATGAATTTTCGCTTAGGGATCTGTAAATATCAAAATACTAACAATTAAATTTTTATTAGTGCTGAGGTTTTAAAAAAAGAAACATTGTAACTTAAAAGCAACCGAACCAAACGTCCATAACGTCCATAAGGTAATTAAAAACCTACTGCAGTTCGGGGACATTTGTAACCAATTCAAACAAAGAATTTTTAGGTGTCTATTCCGATCGAATCCTAGGCTTCCTGTTAGGGCGTGTATATTAGGAGCTCTTATCAGTGACAACCTTTTCTATATATGTGTTATATTATATTGAGGGAATGATAATAGTGGTGCATCTTTTCATTAACAACTCCCTCTGTGTCCCAAAAAATGAATGCTATAACATTCGTCCATTCTTTTCCAACCATCGACTGATCTTTGGTCTCGGATAAAATGTTGGATGATGGTGGAAGTTACAAATCGAGTCAAAAATTCCTTGTCAGCCTGATAATTTTGAAAATGTATACTTGAAATGTTATGTCGTCTCTTCTTTTGCTCTTTGGTTAAAATTTTTAATACCAAGGGCGAATACCTTACGACCTCAGCTAAATGTCTGATGTTTACACTCCGGTTTGCCAGTACAACCTATTTTACGTTTTTTTGGTAAGCGAGTTCGATAGGCCGTCTTCATGATGTTCATTTCAGCGTGTACATTTTTATTATCAAAAGTTAAGATAAATGTCTCTCACAGAAATCATTCAGTGTATTTTTAATGAGGATAGATAAGCTAAATTATTTTTAGGAGTTTTAGGCTTATTACAAATTAAATCTTTTAGATAAACCCTACTAAGTCGATTATTTTTATTAAATGTGCATGTTGTTATTTACCTTTGCTACGGCTTTTCGTATGACCACAGAGGTTGACGATGCACCATCTGTGGCTTCAGTTGAATTATGTTTCGTATGTTTAGCTGCACAAAATTTTCTTATTAGGTGAACGTCGGGCTGCCTGCTAAAATCTGGTATGTAATATTTTCCCGTACTGTGTTTTCTGTTTGTTTTTTTCACAGGTGGTATTAAATAATCTAAGGAATCTTAGAAAAAAAAAGAAAAAGTAAACAAAACCAGAAAATAATAAAATAAAATTAGACTATTTTAGAACTGACCAAGTATATCGGATTCGACACTGTAATAGTCCATTCCGAGAATTTTGTTGCGATTGTGATAAAAATCTCGAGTAACCACCGCATGAATTGTGATTATGAGGTTTAATTTTGACAAGTTAGTAATACTTCACACGAAAAATATCCCACTTTCCATATTGTTGATAGACAAGTTCATTATTATATTTAATTGACTGTCAGGATGACAAAATAATTTTAAGTGCCTGTTAAAACATATCGAATATATACTCTTTGGTGTTAATTTAAAGTTAGACCTAGCGAAAACATCAGCGAGGCAACTAGCGTGTACGTATTTGGTATATTTTAATAATACCTACATAATATTTAACGATGACATGAATTCCGCGCCAAAATGGCGGAGAACATCCCCCGAAAAGATATCTTTATTAAATCTAGTAGATAACTAGTGATGTCTAGACCAAGTAAAGTATGCTTACAATGCTAGAGTTAAAATAAGCTGACGTAGGCAACTTGTTAAGCTATAGTCTATATATTTTATATGGGTTGTGAAGAACTACTTAGATCCAAGCCACAGATTATACTAGAGACTATACTACTACTACTATACTATATACTATACTCGGTTAAAGTAAAGCAATATATTTTGGTAGATAGATATAATTAAACGTAGACAGAGAAACCTATAAACTGATGATTAGCGTGGCCTCGGGTGAGAAAGAATGATGACGTAGTTTTACGTTATACAATAATCTTTATGACTGTTAAACATATTAAGATAAAATTTTTAATTGTTCTGAGAACTGAACTGAACAAGATTCACCAATCTTAAGCTCATAAAACACTTTTTTCTCACTTAAACCAACTTGTAAACTCCTTGGATTGCTACGAACTGTCAAAGTTGTTTAGCAAAGTGTAGTTTGCTAAACAAAAAACCCGGCACGGAGAAAGGGACAAACGATCACACCGCTCTGTCTCATTTCTATGCAAGACGTATGCATAAATCTATCTTTTTCGTGTGCGAATGCAAAAGAAGGCGTCAATTTGTCTATAGGTTTCTCTGTCTACGTAATTAAAACAACAGTGTTAATCTTTGACAATCTCAAATATGACAATGAATGAGTAGTAATGCAAAAAATTTATCTCGCTATACACGATGCTTGCAGGTGCACGTAGAAACACTTGTGCTAAACCTACCAGCTCTGTATACCTTGTTTAGTACCCTGCACATCACTCGAAAGGTTTCTTGTCTTTTGCCAACAAATTTTCTTTTAAATAGCGATCTAATTCTAAAACAGTGAGGCTTTTAGGATAATCGCGCTCTAGTGGCTGGGTGGAAGCTAATTCTTCGAAGCAATTCCAGAAAGATATATGTGGATCTTGTGACTGTCGTAATCGTTTAGATTCGTTTTATTCATTGCAACTAGTACTCTTTGAAATGCCACTTCCTTTTACTGATTCTAAAAATAGCATGTTCCTTATCAGTTCATAGTTCTCTGGATGAAAAAATCGCATCCAGAATCTGAGGTCTAGCAAAATTGCCAAACTATAAGATTTGTCATTCTCTAACCCTTGAAAACAGCCCTGAACTTCATTTTCACGCTTTTGTTTCATACATGCTGTGTTTGGGCAAGTCTGGCTGACTTTAGGTTTTGATAGATATTTTAAAAGGGCATAGGTGTGGAGTATCACTTCAGAGATTGATGCTAATGTGGAGCTGGTAATTTTAGAATTTTCTTCGAATGGTTTGAGTAATGTTATGCACTTTCGTAGGATCTCCCATTGACGTTCAGTTAATCGTTGTAGATTGACTGTACTTGGGTTGTTCGACATGAAGAGATATATTGCACTTTTTTGCTCCCTCAATTTGTTTATCATAAAAAAGTACCATTCCATCTTGTGGTAACATCTTGCACGAGTTTGTGCTCTGGCAATTTCAGCTCTATTTGTATCAGGGTCAGTTTTTCTTGTGCCGCTGCAGAATGGTTAAAGTGGCCTACAATTTTTCTAGCTGAGGCAATAACGTCGATTACATTTTGTTCTTTCAACGATGCTTTTACGGCTAACTGCAGCGTATGTATGTAGCATCCTTTGCCAACATATTGACTATCATTTATAGCTTTCACCTCTTTGGGTCCATTGTCTCTCAAAACAAGATAAATGATAGTGTCAATATCCCAGCTCAAGGATAAATCTAAAAGCACTGATCGAATATTGTCTGCCGTGTGGGGTCCTCTAAAATGTTTCATCTGCATTACTATGTGTGCTGAAGCTCAAATTCCTCGTCTAGCCAGTAAGCGGTGTAGCTTAAGAATCCGAGTAAGTTATTCGTGCAAGTCCAAATATCAGTAGTTATTGATATAGCTTTAGCTTTTGCAATTTCCGCTCTTATTACGTTTTTCACTTTGGTGTAAACTTCTGGTATGACAATCTCGTTCATGTACTTTCTACCGGGAATTTGGTATTTGGGTTTTAAGGTATTCATTAATCTGTTGAACCTATTATTTTGCGACATAGATATCGGTTGGGTATCTACCATGATCATCTCCGCCACAGCTTTGTGAATTTCTTTGGCGCGCGAATTAGTTGTGTCCCATTTTGTAGTAAATGACTCGAAAAGGGTTTGTTGTATATTTGTTGCATTCGATTGCAACAACGAAGTTGACACTGCTATCTCACGATTTTAAGATATTTCGGGCAGTTTCATTTTCCAAATCTTTCGACTCTTTTGTGTGTTTTATTTTAACATGGTTTAACATTGCCGTCGTAGAAGACTTTCGTCCAATACCACTACGTGAAATCAGAAAATTTCATAAGGTACATTTCATTTTGGTTCAATCTTCTTCAATCTCGTCGCAAAACATCCAAATTCGTGATCTTTTACATGAACACATCTACACCCGTTAATCATAAGTCAATCGTTAATTAACTAACTTTTTCAATTATTTTTCTACTCGTATGTATATATATATGTATATGTTATGACTCGCAACGTGACGTACTTTTTTGTAAACTAGCAAGCGACTGTTAGACGAGAGGCGCAAAACTGCGCACAAGAAAGATCGGTGAGCTGAACGTAGGGAAATTTGGGATAGGGCAACGGAACCCAAGGGGCCAGCAGCTGGTCGACTTCATAAAGAAAGAGCGACTTTTTAGGATGAACTCTTTCTTCTAGAAACGGCCCTACAGAAAGTGGACCTAGTCGAGCCCCGATGGTTCAACAAAAATGAGATTGACGCATCTCTAGATTATTCACTCTACCTAAGAAAATCCACGCCACGCAATTTTACGAACGGAAACGAGCTAAGACAAGTTATGAAGAAATGAGATTCGCAAATGGACACATCACGCTTATTTACGTTTGCGGTTGTGCCACAGAATAAATAATATCTAGTAATAGTTGTGACCACATAAAGTGAACGCTGACGAAGAGCATTGACGGCGAATGACTGAGAATGCTTCACGTTAACATCAAAATAAATATCGGATGAAATAGTAGTCAAGTACCTAAATTGCCGCAACTTTGCCTGAATTCTGAACCTTGTTGCCTGTATATCAAAATTTACCTTATAATATTGAAATCTACTTCATGAGAAATAAAGTTAAAGTTAGGATCATGTTTATGATGTTTGGGCAATGTATCTTTGAAGAAACTTAACCTATTGTTTGTTTTGTAAGCAGGCAAAGACAGGATCATTATCCATAACATTACCTGATCTCTTATTGGCAATAAAAACGTTATCATTATTTTTAGTATAGAAGCCAATATGTACCTTATGCTTCAGCTTACCAGATAGTTATTCTATTATCGTTATTTGAGCCATATGTCTTTGTATATGTGACGAGGCAAAGTTGGGACAGGATTTTGTTAAGTTTTCATACAGTCGATCAATAATGCATAGGGATGTTACACAAAACAAGACATAGTTTTTCAATAATTTATTCTGTAAAAATCAACACTTAAGTTTAATACTTAATTGTTGAGTTTATCTCACTCGTCAAACGCAATCGTCAAACTAGGTAAGTCTCAATTATTACAATTTTATATTATGTCCTATAGTAGGTTGAGACTTAATTCCACGTACAACGTACATGAACAAATATGAAATTGCTAGGAATAGAGTTAAATGCTCAAAGATGTCCCAAGCCCGATTTTTATGTTAACTAAAAATGCATCATCATTGCAAAAAGAAACACCTGTAATTTTTAGTTTTCGTTAAATGGAGTTCGAGACAGACTTTCTCACTTTTCCCGTAGTATGGGTTTTGGCTTTACATGTCCACTTAAAAATTTACACTGTGCATCTCAATCTTAAATTATCAAAAAAATTGATCATCTAATGAAAAAGGCAGTTAATATATGTTATCAATGTGGTTTGGATAAAATATTCTCAATGTCAAGTCGCGTAACGTAGAATATGTCGTCAGCAAATTCGATACCCTGGTTCACATTAATATTAATTAGGTGCATTTTTTATCAGTGAAACTTTAGGTTTATGATTTGTGTACTATAGCCCTAATCACATCTTTTTGCCGTAATTAGAATGATTGTGAACTATGGGGGCCGATGTGTCAGTTCCTTTATTATTTTTTCACCTCAAAGATTTAGTTAAGATTACACAAGAAATATTTTCTGGGTATATTTCTGAGCTAAAAAAAGCTCAATACTTATCTCTTAAGGGTTTAATACATTCGGTAAACGTAATTAAATATTTTTTTATTGCGCTTACTGTTTAAAAACAATATATTTATTTATCTGCTAACAATACGGTACATGTTTAGAATGATTTGAAAAACTATATAGTATACCTAAAATGTATGCATTTAAAGTAAAACACAGTGATAATCGCAAATATTATATAATCACTACGTAGATATAGGTTTTTTTTTAAATGTAAATAGCACAATAAACGTACCTAGTTCATATAATTATAATAACTTTTTATTCACTCCTTTAGAACATTAGGGACTTAACGTATACAAATGTTGTAATTTGATAATTAATTGTACTCTCTAATATATACACAGTAATCTATGAATTGTACTCTTTAGGCATAACCACAGCCTCACAGCACAATCCGTCAATCTTCATCTTAATTGATGTCCATTTGCTGGATGATTATTTAATCTATGAATATGTTTTTAATTATTGACAAACAAGTGCACAGCTCATCTGATAGTAAGTGGATAGATAAGTTGTAATTCATAAAGATAATAAGTGTCCAGCAGGCCTTATTATATTAGTAGGTATTTACAAATTATTTTATTATTTTTATGCTTGATGCTGATATATTTTTTGTAGACAATCCTTGAAATTGTGAGTTTCTTATACTTTGGTCAATGTATAACATTATGGGCTACCATGTAAAAAGCGATTAATGGAATATTGGGTTTGTGATTGTGTATGCGTAAGGCTAACTTTATGTCCTTTTTTAATTTCCTATGTCACATCCACAACTAAGACAAATCTGATGATACCCAAATGTTAAAATCCATCAAGCTGTTTGGGCTACAGTATGATCCCATCAATGCCCATCATATTGTTTATCATATAACTTTTGATAGTTTAGTTTTTACTTCTTCTCTGTGAGATTTGCAGTCTATGAATGTGTGTTTGTGGCAATTTAAATAACTCAACTGTCTCTAAAGATGAACTTTGGGGTTTAATGTTCATTTGGAGTTGGAAAGATTTAAATAAAATGTAAATTGATTTTTCTTGTTTAGTTATTATTAATTTCATAAAAAATTATTTTGTAATAAACATGAGTAAAGAATGCCTGTTACATGTAAGTAAAAATACATCATGTAAAAGTAATTCTAATTTCATGTTTTTTGTTCCAGCTCAGCGACATGACGGAACACAAATCAGTGAAACAACAAAAAATACAGCTGCAGCAGTTGCTTTCTTTGACCAATTGTTCGACAGTTGCAATGGTTCGAGGTCTGGTAGGGCTCCAGGAAAAATACGAGGTCCAGTCAAACTGAATAGTGCCCACAAAGCATTTTGGATTGAAGCCATTAAGAAGTTTAAAAAAATGCATTTCATTCCAAAAAATTCTTTAGAAAAAGCTACAATAAAAAATGTACCAACATTAAACAATTGGGTTACAACACTAGAAAGCCTAATAAGAGTAAGTGAAATAATGCAATCGGAGGGGGTCAGTTTCTTTTACACGAGAAACCTAAATCAAGACCCCCTTGAAAATTTCTTTGGCAAAATAAGAGCATATAATTATAGATATACCAACCCCGATACATTTTCGTTCCGAAACTCTTTTAAGTCATTATTAATGACGGACATGCTGGCCATCCACACAAAAAATTTTAATTGTGAAGATGATATGGGGGAGACCATATTAAACATAACAACTTTATTGAATGAGGAATTTGCTTCAGATGAACAACCAGTTCCCGATAGTAATGATAATAGAAACCTTAGTTGTTCATCTGAAGTAAATTTATCAGGAAATATGGTCTCCTCCATATTTGAAGAAAAAATAAATGTAAATGCGAGGAGTTACACTTCAGGATATATTATAAGAAAACTGTGTCAAAATAAATGTAAAAATTGCAAAAAAACATTTTTAAATAATGAGGATCAGCAGCTTAGTGTCCATGATTTAATTAGACACAGAAAACGAAAGCACCTTAAAGGGAAAAATCTTATGTACCCTAGTACAAGATTTATTGTAGCATTTTCAAAATTAGTTGATTTAAGTAATGTGGTATTAAATAATACTTGCCACAAAGGAAATATTATTAAAAATATATACGAAAAATGTATTACTCAAAATAATTTGGAATGGCTAGGCTGCCAAGAGCACCATGACAAAATCAAAAAAAAAATTTTACTTCTTGGGGCTAAAATCCAAGTATTTCACTGGTGCCGAACAATAAACAGAATATTGAATGGATCGCATTGTGTAATTAATTTTAACGATGCACCATATATTCAAAAAATAGAACATATAAAATGGTTAAAACAAAGAAAATATAAAAAATGAAACTTGCAAATATGTTTTTTTTTAATTCCTTTCCCTTATTAATATAACTAATAAAGAATAATGAAAATAAAAGAAATCGATAAACTCAATTCACATCCCTATCGCTGCAAAATCTATCGATATCATGGATAATCTATACACCCCAACACTAACAAGCGGGAAAAAGCTTGCCCTCCAAACTCACTACGGCGACGTACTGTCCTATCTGTCTTGTACATACAACTTTATAATTTGTGCCGTCAATGTCAACTG